CGTCCGTCCGCTAACTTTGCGACGCTACTAGTTTTTTATCTTAAGAGCTATTGTTCTACTTTTTTTCGCTATTTGGTTCGTTATGGTGTCGAGTCTTGTACCAAGGAAGAAATTTTTTCTGTACCGCTTACAAAAAAAGTTATTGTAAAAAAAACAAAAAACCGTTTTTTACATGTTCCATAATTTTACACTTTTGCCGTTATTAACGATCCTAGAGATCGTTTATAATTTTGCATTGCTATCTGTCGCCTGCCGGTTGGTCTGTCCGTCTGTTCCTTTGTCTGTCTGTCCATATATCTGTCCGTGTGAACGATAACTTTGTTTAGAAATGTTCGATCGCTTTTACATCTCCGTTAGTTATGAACTGAATTGCATGAAATTCAATATGGGCATAGCTTTAGTCATATAATACGCAATGCCAAAAGTTGAATCGAATCGATTCAAAATTCACAGTGCCCTTTTCGCATCTCGACCATTTATAAACCGAATTGCAAACTTTTTTACTTATAAAAGTATTTGAATAAAATTTGATACATAGGCACTTGTAATAAAGGAAAATCAAACGCCAATTTTAAAATTTGGTTTTGCGCATGCGCAGTGCCAACTTTTTTATTTGCGGAAGAATTTACAGGAAATTTGATACATAGGCACTTGGGATAAAGGAAAATCAAACGCCAATTTCAAAATTTGGTTTTGCGCATGCGCAGTGCCAACTTTTTTATTTGTGGAAGAATTTAAACGAAATTTGATACATAGGCACTTGGGATAAAGGAAAATCAAACGCCAATTTCAAAATTTGGTTTTGCGCATGCGCAGTGCCAACTTTTTTATTTATGGAAGAATTTAAACGAAATTTGATACATAGGCACTTGGGATAAAGGAAAATCAAACGCCAATTTCAAAATTTGGTTTTGCGCATGCGCAGTGCCAACTTTTTTATTTATGGAAGAATTTAAACGAAATTTGATACATAGGCACTTGGGATAAAGGAAAATCAAACGCCAATTTCAAAATTTGGTTTTGCGCATGCGCAGTGCCAACTATTTTATTTATGGAAGAATTTAAATGAAATGTGATACATAGGCACTTGGAATAAAGGATCATCGAGCGCCAGTCTCAAAATTTTCTTTTGCGCATGCGCAGTGCCAACTTTTTTATCTATGGCACCATTTAAGTGAAATTTGATACTTAGGCGCTTGGAACAAAGGAAAATCTAACATTAGTTTTAAAATTTAGGTTTGCGCATGCGCAGTTCCAACTTTCTTATTTAGAAAAGCATTGAAATGAAATTCTTCTCATAAACTGAAATTGAAGTAACACGTCAAAAATGGATTGCCCATGTGCAACGCTATCTTTCATATTTGTGGCCGGATTTTTACGATTTTAACAGAAGTTGCATCTTATAAATGGGAAATGAATGCAAGTGGAAATGCGCTTTATGTAAATCGTTTACGATTACTTTTTAACTTGTTATCTTTGGAGATGATTTGTTAAGATTGACAAGTTGTTTGAAAAGTAAGTGGCACTGTTTTTTTACATTGGCATATATGCTCTTTGATTAACATTAAATTAATTTTGGTTAGATTTGTTCTCGTTCTCGTTCTCGTTCTCTAGATAGCCTAACACGTACGTTCTCTTAAATGAAAGCACGGAGTGAGGTGTACGTCCTGAACTCCTGCGTGACCATTAATAATAATTAGCCTCTATATACAGGGTATAACCGAAAATTAAATTTACGCAAACTATACACGTTACAAAATGGTTCTTGTTTGGGTTCGTTCATTTCTATATAAAAGACGATAATAAACATCTCAACCTCAAAAGCGTCGCTATTTCAATTTATGAGTAAATTGCGGCAGTTACTTTATCCTTTCATTTGGAAATTCCAAGTAATTATTTCAATAAAATTGTTTTTGTCAAAACGTGTTACTTAAAGTAGATCATATGTCTATCGAATAGCAACTGTAATGCGATGGCGATGAAGCAAAAGTTAATTGTTCTTCTCATAATTTTTATAGTTACATTTTCTATTACAAAAGAGGCGAAATACAGATAGTAAAGAGTAATGGCCAGTAATAAAAATAACGGCTATCATAATGTAGGTCAGTTTGTTAACCCCACGGGAGAAAAATCGGAAACGTAAGGAATAGTAAGAAAGGAAGGGTTAGTTATTCCCATTCCAATGAGATATGTCTAAGAAGAAAACCACCGAATGGATTCGATATTATCTACATCCAATTGACCACTGGACGAAAGCACAGAATTAAATTTTCAAAAAAGGCGAATTAAATCCAAACGGCGGTTCTTGTCTCAAACTAAAAGCTGATAAGGAATGATAAAAGTTCTTTTGAGGAATAAAACCGCAGAAAGAGTCACGGAACTGCCATCCTTTTTGTGAATTTCACTCTTGTAATAATAGGCCATTAGGGAGAAGGGGCAAATAAATCACAAACTCGAGCCAATCTTGACGAATTTATCAAAGGCGAAATTTCAAAATCCTCGTTATTAAGATTAAGTAAAAAATATGTTCAGGAATTAGGGATAAATTCGTATTCTGTTCAGATATCTACATGCGCGACGGCGGCGGGCGAGCGGAAGGTCTCCGGGACAAATCTTTATTTACGGCGCGAACCGGGAGGATTCCGTAGTCGGAAAAGGCTTGACGAAAAGTTGTACGGCGGTAATCCTCTTATCCGCAAAGATATTGTAACAACGGAATTGCCTCGCTAATGAGAGCAGCTTTTAATGTTTTACACTTACACCTATAAACTTTTACTAAGCTGACTTCTTTGTGCAAACGGGAGCTTTTAAATTTCTACGTAGACGTATATTAAAAAGTTTAGCGGTCGTTTTATAACGGCTCACAGGACAAATTCTATTCAAAACGTGCTGCGATTTTATCGTCCTACAATAAAACACTCGTGCATATAAGTAACTGCAACGGGAAAATGGGAAAAATGTCATAATATAGGATTTTGACGTCACAATCGAGGGTAATTTAATCATTGATCTCAAAAATAAATAAATAAAATGGATCAACACGGTAGTCAGAGTAAGTACTAATATCCAAACAGGCTTTCGCAGAAAACAACCGAGTTATAATTTAAATGAATCTCAAACCAATGGTAGTGAATTGCGCTGCAAATAAAATATTGCGTAAGCAATGGCTACGTTTGACATGGAGGCTATTGGATATAAAAAAGTGGAATTAATACTCAAAAAGAATCAATACACTAGCAAAAGCGAAATTTTGTGCGATCACGGATTGCTCGTACAATATCAAGTATGAAAGCATAAACGTGGCGTTAAATTCAAGAAAAGTACTTTACGATGCACACCTAACTAAATTTCTATTGATCTAACCAATTCAAAACATAACCAAGATAATATGATCCGATTCTTCTGAGTAAAACAAATAACGTGACTAAAATTTGTAGATATCGGCTTCGGACAAAGTCTTGGTAACTTCAAAATTAATTTACAAGGTAACGGTAGCTAACATCTCAAATAACACAGCTAATATAG